CCGAAATGACCGAGTTTTCTGTAACGTTATGTAACCTGCCCAAGTTAACTCGGGCGAAGAACTAAAGGGATTTAACAAACTTCTGAACTTTTGCTGGAATTTTACTGTCTTGTTTACTTTCTTGTCTCTCAAGAATTTCTGTTAGGTATTTTGTGATATTTTTATTAAAATATTTTATTGCACTTCAAATTCACTGTAATTTTGCCATATTTATGAGCAACAAAGTCAAAGTTTGTCTTCCCAGTAAACTTTGTTAATATTAAGCATAAAGTTTTACAGTGCAATGCAAAATATATTACACACACTACAGTAATACCTCGACTTACGCGAACCCGGAGTTACGCGATTTTCAAATCTCGTCGATTCGTCTTTTGTTTGAGCGCCACGCAACTCTTGATTTCTTACTCCCCCCACACTATTATTCAGCTTACATGTTCGGATGTGTCGCGCGAAATCGACACATAGCTACAATTTATTTTGTGTTATTTATTTCTGTATTTGTTTTATCTACGGAGACTCGAGAGACTCTATGTGGTGATTTCTTGTAACCGTGAACGAATCAAAAGACGAGATAAGATTAACGCGAACATTTATTAGCTTATATACATCCGACTTGGATTTTACACAAATTGCGAAATTATACCCCGACTTATGCGGTTATCGCTCGGTCCCACCTATCGCATAAGTTCGGGATATTACAGTAGAGCGTCGATTATCCGAATCAATTGGGGACTGGGGTTGTTCGGAAGATCGATGTTTCGGATAACCGGTTATGTACGAAAAAATGTATTAATTTATCCCATCTTGACATTTTTCTCCGTTGCGTGTCGTGTCGTTCAAAATAAATATATTGAAAGATATAACAACAATGACAAATTATACTTTAGAAGTTAATTTAGTATCAAAAACGTAAAATATTTGAGTAGCCCAAGACATAGCCAAAGATTGCAGCGCCACAGCACTGGAGAAAATTTAAATTTTCCGACTGGAATTCTTTCGGATAATCGACGCTCTACTGTATTGTATATCATATTTAAAAAACGATGTGTATCACTGTCTTTTAAATGTTTACAAAAATTATTATTTGTCTTGCTTGTCTTAATACTTTCCATTTGACACACACAGTTAATACAAATTATAAAAAATTGTTTCAATAATGCTTTCACAAGAAGCGAGTAATGAGAATATTCACTTAACTGAGTTGCAGTGAAAAGATGCTCATTCTTACGAAAGATGAGTAGTTGAAATTAAATTAATTGTATCATATTATAACTTCATAATCCAATTTTTTCCTGGTTTTATTCGTACTGGAAAGGTTCTTCTGAGAACTTTTTCAGCAACAAAACATAATTTTATGATCATACGAATATATAGACCACCTTGATCTTTTATAAATATTAAGCTATCCTTTGTTAAATTTGTTTTATTTCCAAACAAAAGCTTCACGCAGGAAAAACATTTAGCAGTTTTAGAACATGATTTCACAATAATTCCAGCAATATATTTTATTACTTTTTCAGAATAGTGTTAGTGGTTCATATTGTGGAATATAAGAATGGTCAAATTTTAAAATATTTTGCTTTATTATTATCTTGCTTTTCTATATATTTTTGATTTGAAATGCTAAATGGAACGATATTTGTACAGTTCAATTGATTATTAGCCAGAGTTTCTCCATCTCCAAAAGCTAACAAACACTTCCTATATGCTGATCTAAACTGCAATACTGTGGGATTGTTGTTACCACCACTATTTCTAATTGCAGAAAAAATAACTCAATGTGATCTTGGCTGAATTTTTTTTGTTAGAAGATAATTTAATAATGGCTTTTTACTCCAAACATATTGATTTGCCATTTGTTCTATATTTTTTAAATCAATTATTAGAACAATTATTGAAATCTTCCTTCTTTCTTTAAGTGGACAGTTTTTACAATCATTCAGTTTACTGAAATAATCAATTCCGTGGTTAATAATTTTCAAAAAGTGGTTTTTGTTTCTGTTTGTGACTGGACTCTTTGTCCATCTTCCCATTGACAAGAATTAAACAGGTCAAATATATCATTTACTTTCAATGTGAATACAGCAGTTGCATCAACATTATTAAAGCCTTTATGCAATTTTCTTTACAAAATATAAAAGCATTATTTACAGATCTACTTAATGTCTGTGCTGCTATATTTACCTTCTTTTTTGTCTCCACCATTCAATATGATATGATTTTAGTTTATTTGAGACATGAAGACCTTCTTTATTCTTTAAGTTATATAACTGAATAAAATAGTACCATTTAATAATTCTGTCATCATTCTCACCCATCTTTAGCATCTTTAGAACTTTAAGATCAGCCAAACGATTCCTCATTAATTTCAACATATGAGCTGCATCAAGAAATGCATAAACTTTAATTTCTTTTGTTGAAGGGTGATAAAACCAGTTTTTCAAATTTTCTACATCAAAGTTAATTCCCAATTCCTTATACATTGAAATATTTGATGCAGATCCATCACATGTTGCAATTACAAAAGCACCAACTAAATATAATTTTTCTAAATATTGTTTTATTAGATTGGCTTTAACTGTGCTTTGTATTCTATTAATCAAACAGTAACCAATAGGAATTTTCCAGCCTTTGTTAACTGCACTAAGTAAAAATACAAGTGCTTTTGTTGCCATGGGAGTATCATCATTAAGATTTCCATGACCAAGATCAATATATCCTATTACTTCTTTCCCATCCGAATCAACTTGTTTTTTAATTGCCATTTCATCAATAATTAAGCAACATAATAGTGGATGGGTTGAAATTAGTGTTGTAACGAATAGTATATTCGGCCTCAGGCCGAATACCGAATATTCGGCCAGGAGCGTGGCCGAATAGCCGAATATTCGGCCAAACTATTCGGCTTGATTAACGCACGTACGAAAATTGGCGCGCAAACCGCATTATGGCAAGGTTCCTGCTCTCTATTGGCCTGCTGTCACTACGCTTCTCCAATCGCGTTAATTCTTGGCAGTTGTAGCCGACAGACAAGAGTGTCATGAAAGTATGTGCTAAATGATGATATCAAATGACCTACACTTGTAAATAACGGAAAAAGAACAGAGAAGGACCGCGAAGTGAAAATGTGAAAATAAATATGANTAATTGTACTGTAGTATAATTTTGCCATTTTAGTCATTTTTTTTATTTTAGTACAAAATCCACAACAAAAATAATTGAAGCGCAGTGAGCAAGCTTCCTTAGTAGACTCAAGTTGACAAATTGCCGAAATGTCTTGTGAAGTAATGACTCGACCTATTCGAATGAAATTTTACACTTTAATAGCAGTAATAAAATGGTGTATGGTGACAGAGGCCAAAGTTTACAGTTAGACCTAGAATGGGAGATATTAGGTCAAAGGTCATCCCCATGTTAAATCGGTGGGAAAATTTTTCATTGTAAAAACGTAAACAAAACGAACCCGTGCTACCCAATACTCGAAATACGGAGAAGCTCTTGCCAAATTTTTTAAATACCAATTTTCTCCCATTTTTTCTGGAAAAATTGACCCTATATGCATAATGCTAATATACGTTGCATAAAAATTTATTCATAAAACAATAACGACAGTATATTGAGTTTAGAATTCCCACTGTAAGTCTATAGAAAAAATTCCAGTTGGTTCTAATTTATTTTTAATGTAGTTTAAAATATTCCTATATTTAACAAGAAAAGTGACGTGTATAATGTCCCCACTGCATCGACCTTTGTTCTAAAACTTCCTTAACTTAAATAATAAAGTTACGAAAGTTACCAGTCGCTTTAATTTAGTGTCCTCTAATGATCTAACGAGAATCGCTTCAGTTGGGAACGCAATTCTAGTTTAAATTACTTTTAAATTATACTCACGAAAGAAAAGTATATCTAATTTGACATTTTTGAAAAATAAATCCATCCTTTACTGTGTAAACTGCCTACAGTTTTGGACCAAAAGAACTCTGTATATACAAATGCCATTGTACTGTACATCAATATATTGTAGTAATTCAGGGAAGATGAATTGGCAGATTATGTGAAAAATGAAAAGGTAGTTATAATAAATACTGGTACAAACTTTCAAAAGTTACCGATATAACGGAAAATTTTAAATTTAAAGACTTGGAAGATTTATTTTAGATTTACTGTTATCATCACTCTCCAATGCTTCCTGAAAAGAGTTTGTTTTCCAAAATTAACTTAATTAAAACAAACATTAACAAAACTTCAACGGAAACTTAATAGTTTTCTATTAGCTTCCAAAAGTATTGATACCAAGAAAGAATTTTTGAGTCATTTAACAAAAAACAATGCTAAATGCTGTCTGTATAGTTTTGTTGCTTAATTAAAGGTGGAAGGACTGGTGCTATTTCATTACTTCTTTCCCTTTGTCAAAATCAGTAGTCTAGGCCAATTACCCTTGTCCCCTCAATTTATTTCTTGTTTTTCTGTAAATAACATTGAATTGAATAAAAATCATTTTGTAATTACACCAATATTTTTGATGTATTGTAGGTAATATTTTAATTTATCTCAGAACATTAATTTTCATTGTTTTTAAACCAAACAAAATAAACCATTTTAATGACATATATTTAATCTATTTTAGTCTCTTTTGACACATATGGTTTATTTTGAAGAAACAGAGATAGTAACACTGACTGTGTGCAACTCATCAATGCAATTTTCATTTTATTACAAAGCATTTATAAATTCTATGTATTGTTTTTATGTTTTAATTTATTGTTAAGACATTTGTTATTTTTAACTGTTATTTATTATATGTATTTGCTGTTTTATCGAAATGGGTATTGTTTATGGTCTGGAAATGGATTAATCTACTTTCCATAATTTCTAATGCGAAAAATTTATTTGAAGTTCAAATATCCTTCTGGAATCAACTAATTTTCAAGTACGAGTACTGTCTATTTCAATGTTATCATTGTTTAAAATAGAATGACTCTTTTGGGAAACTTTGCCTTTTCTTCAATTTAACTATTAGTTCTTTATTTTAAAAATAATATATCAAATGATTCAATTTATCTTATATATTAAATTTTTACAGTTTTCTCATAGATTAAAAACACTTTGAGACATTTTTGTAAAATTTACATTATTCAGTTTCCATTTGTTTTTCAATTTTATCTAATAAATGCTCAATTTGATACCTCATAATTGGCTGGCCTTTTTTTGTTTTTTTACATAAATTTTTATATCTTTCAATTTTCTTTTTTTTATATTGTAAAATTGCATTAGCACTTTCCTGTCTTCTTTCTTGTATTTTCTGAAAGAAAAAAAATTAAAATAATTGTCAAAATTTATATATTTAATATGTTTAAATCAGAAAATAAATTGACTATTACAATATTTTTATATAAAGAAGTAGAGCTTAAAGTTTTAGTACTAAATTTTAATAAAACTTCAAAAATTAATACTAAAATGTTAAAATCAACATAAAACAATATATAAGCTAATTAATTTCTCAGGAGATAATACAATAAGCACTTACAATAAAAATTTAACATTTTTAAACCAAAAATAAACTTTTTACAGAAATAAATTACATATTGTTTTAAAATAATTTTAAGTATAAATAATTATTTTATTATGGAATATGTTGGTTCATTTCATTCTCAACTTTAATAAGCATTTCATCAAAGCATTTCATTGTTTTGTAATTTTATTGAAAATTTTCTTGCAATTAACACCATTCATTCATTAAAAAAATAGGTTTAACGCCATCTTTGTTGACCACATATCCCAAAAAGGACAATTCTGACACACCCAGGATGCACTTTTCCAAGTTCATGCAAACCCTATAGCCAGAACAAGCAGTGGAAGAGTTGTTTGAAATCAGCTTGATGATGTTCCTCTGAGGTCTGGCTATAAAAATGTCATCGAGTCTCTCTGGCACTCTTAACACTTTGTCAATGAATTGTTAAAAAGTTCAGGCAGTACTGGCAAACCCAAAAGACACAAACAATTCAAATAAGCTGAAACCAATTGTAGTAGTTATTTTGTTACATAACTGAGGAAAGAAACTGACTTATAAACTTCATTTTATTACCACTATGCTTTATTTACACAAAAGGAGTCTTAAAAGGCAGAGAGAATATATCCTTGCAAACCAAGTAATCAACTTCTTACCATATTATCTCCAAACCTTTCCCTCTCTCTCCCTGTAGCTTTTTAATTAACTCTTTAAACAAGAAATTTGCCAAAATTGGCCTTATCCATTCAAAATGAAATCAGCTGATGGAGAAGGGAGAGCTAACAAGATGCAGATGTACTACAGTATAGTACATGTTTAATGGTGACTGCCACAACACTTATACTTTATATTTGAGTAATTCTAAAATTTACAGATAGAAATTCAAAATTTGAGTAAACATTAAATCAAAACTTACATAAAAGACTGAAAATGTGTTTGGGACAATTTTTTTTTTTTATCAATTTTTAATATTCTTCATTCTTTTTCTTCTCAAACTGATTAAAAACCTGTACTTCATTTATAACATTTTACAAATAAAACAAGGCGTTGTAAAACAATTTAAGTTGCATTAGAGTTATACAATATTTTAAACCATATCACAAGCACATGCAATTTCTCTTTCATTCTTTCAAACTTATGAGAAAAGAACAATAGAAAATAAATTAAACAAATCCTTTTCTCTTTTCAATTGTCAGGAAGTATGAACCAACCATAAAGCATTATGACAGCACTCATACACTATTGTTGTCTTTATTTCACACATGCATGCATAAGATTTTATGCAATAATTCATAACTTCAGATAACACTTGGATTTACTAATATAATCAGAGAGGAAAATTCAATCTAAACAACAACTCCAAAAAAGTATGTGAACCAGTAAAGTTTAGCAATTACCTTCTGAACATATTTTAATTTTTATAGGATTTTTAATGAATGGTTTTATTGGATTTATTTGAGAGATAAAAGACAATAAGGATTTTACATGAACAGATTGTGAAGAAACCAAAATTCAAACTTTTTAAAAAGACATGGAAAATTACATATTTCTTCCATGATAATGCACCTGCACATTCTTCCAACATTTCATGAGATGCATTATGAGAATTCCTTATCTATCTTATAGTCCCAATCTTTCTGGACTTTTTGTTTTTTTTAATTTTAGAATTAAAACAACTATTTAAAGGGTATCCATTTTGACTAAATAAGTGATGCTAAAACAACAGGTTTTAATCAGTTTAATTTAAAAGCCTCAACCTATTATAGAAATTGTGTAAAACACTGAAAACATTATTATATATAGAAATATTATATATATAAACGAATACATATTTTTTAACAGTTATCTTTTCAATTCACCTTCATGTGTGTTTGTAGAATGTTTTTTTCAAGCTCTGATGGTCCATAAAAAAAGACAAGTGTAAATAAAATGAATTTATTACCAAAAGTTAGATACAAAAATGGTTACTTTTTGACATAATCACTGTGAAGATTGAGGCATTTGTCATATCTGTGGACACGCTTTTCCATCACTTTGTCAAAGAATGTTGCTGCCAGTGAATTGAGATGGACTTAATAACATTGTTTTGAAGATCATCATTAGTCTCAAACCTCTGCCATGCTAGCCACGTTTTCAGTTCAGGAAAGAGGTGGAAGTCTTCACACATTAAATAGTTTTAAGCTGGGTGGAAGTCTTCACCACCTTTAAACATCCAGCGTATAGTCCCAATTTAGTGCTGAGCAACTTCCATCTCTTTCCTAAACAGGAAAAGTGGCTAGGAGGTTAGACAGGCTAAGTGGGTAGGCAGTTCGAGACTAATGACAATCTCCAAAACAATGTTACGGCCCATCTCAAGTCATTGGTGGCAACATTCTATGACAAGGGGATGGAAAAGCTCATCCACAGATATGACAAATGCTTCAATCTTCAGTGATTATGTCAAAAAGTAACCATGTTTGTACCTAACTTTTGGCAATAAATTCATTTTGTTATTTACAGTTGTCTTTGTATTATGGACCATTGGAGCTTAAAAAACTGCCCTCGTATATATGAAAATATGTATATATATAGATTATATTCTGACAGTAATAAAAATTATTTGGAAAACCTAAATTATGATAGAACTATTCGGTTTTCATTTCATGATTTGTCTATCTACACTTTTTCCACTTTAATATGTTGTTTACATAATCAACTTTCTGTTAACACAGTTTTGACATTTTAAAACTCCTAGATTCAAAACATTACATGCAAACAACTAACAGAAATTTGAATTGTCAGAACATCAGATGTTCATCTGAAGATGGGGTTGAAAATACCAAAAATGGTTTAATCTGAATAAATATTCTGACTCCTTTAATTTTTAAAAATAAAAAAAAACAATATATAAGCTAATTAATTTCTCAGGAGATAATACAATAAGCACTTACAATAAAAATTTAACATTTTTAAACCAAAAATAAACTTTTTACAGAAATAAATTACATATTGTTTTAAAATAATTTTAAGTATAAATAATTATTTTATTATGGAATATGTTGGTTCATTTCATTCTCAACTTTAATAAGCATTTCATCAAAGCATTTCATTGTTTTGTAATTTTATTGAAAATTTTCTTGCAATTAACACCATTCATTCATTAAAAAAATAGGTTTAACGCCATCTTTGTTGACCACATATCCCAAAAAGGACAATTCTGACACACCCAGGATGCACTTTTCCAAGTTCATGCAAACCCTATAGCCAGAACAAGCAGTGGAAGAGTTGTTTGAAATCAGCTTGATGATGTTCCTCTGAGGTCTGGCTATAAAAATGTCATCGAGTCTCTCTGGCACTCTTAACACTTTGTCAATGAATTGTTAAAAAGTTCAGGCAGTACTGGCAAACCCAAAAGACACAAACAATTCAAATAAGCTGAAACCAATTGTAGTAGTTATTTTGTTACATAACTGAGGAAAGAAACTGACTTATAAACTTCATTTTATTACCACTATGCTTTATTTACACAAAAGGAGTCTTAAAAGGCAGAGAGAATATATCCTTGCAAACCAAGTAATCAACTTCTTACCATATTATCTCCAAACCTTTCCCTCTCTCTCCCTGTAGCTTTTTAATTAACTCTTTAAACAAGAAATTTGCCAAAATTGGCCTTATCCATTCAAAATGAAATCAGCTGATGGAGAAGGGAGAGCTAACAAGATGCAGATGTACTACAGTATAGTACATGTTTAATGGTGACTGCCACAACACTTATACTTTATATTTGAGTAATTCTAAAATTTACAGATAGAAATTCAAAATTTGAGTAAATATTAAATCAAAACTTACATAAAAGACTGAAAATGTGTTTGGGACAATTTTTTTTTTTTATCAATTTTTAATATTCTTCATTCTTTTTCTTCTCAAACTGATTAAAAACCTGTACTTCATTTATAACATTTTACAAATAAAACAAGGCGTTGTAAAACAATTTAAGTTGCATTAGAGTTATACAATATTTTAAACCATATCACAAGCACATGCAATTTCTCTTTCATTCTTTCAAACTTATGAGAAAAGAACAATAGAAAATAAATTAAACAAATCCTTTTCTCTTTTCAATTGTCAGGAAGTATGAACCAACCATAAAGCATTATGACAGCACTCATACACTATTGTTGTCTTTATTTCACACATGCATGCATAAGATTTTATGCAATAATTCATAACTTCAGATAACACTTGGATTTACTAATATAATCAGAGAGGAAAATTCAATCTAAACAACAACTCCAAAAAAGTATGTGAACCAGTAAAGTTTAGCAATTACCTTCTGAACATATTTTAATTTTTATAGGATTTTTAATGAATGGTTTTATTGGATTTATTTGAGAGATAAAAGACAATAAGGATTTTACATGAACAGATTGTGAAGAAACCAAAATTCAAACTTTTTAAAAAGACATGGAAAATTACATATTTCTTCCATGATAATGCACCTGCACATTCTTCCAACATTTCATGAGATGCATTATGAGAATTCCTTATCTATCTTATAGTCCCAATCTTTCTGGACTTTTTGTTTTTTTTAATTTTAGAATTAAAACAACTATTTAAAGGGTATCCATTTTGACTAAATAAGTGATGCTAAAACAACAGGTTTTAATCAGTTTAATTTAAAAGCCTCAACCTATTATAGAAATTGTGTAAAACACTGAAAACATTATTATATATAGAAATATTATATATATAAACGAATACATATTTTTTAACAGTTATCTTTTCAATTCACCTTCATGTGTGTTTGTAGAATGTTTTTTTCAAGCTCTGATGGTCCATAAAAAAAGACAAGTGTAAATAAAATGAATTTATTACCAAAAGTTAGATACAAAAATGGTTACTTTTTGACATAATCACTGTGAAGATTGAGGCATTTGTCATATCTGTGGACACGCTTTTCCATCACTTTGTCAAAGAATGTTGCTGCCAGTGAATTGAGATGGACTTAATAACATTGTTTTGAAGATCATCATTAGTCTCAAACCTCTGCCATGCTAGCCACGTTTTCAGTTCAGGAAAGAGGTGGAAGTCTTCACACATTAAATAGTTTTAAGCTGGGTGGAAGTCTTCACCACCTTTAAACATCCAGCGTATAGTCCCAATTTAGTGCTGAGCAACTTCCATCTCTTTCCTAAACAGGAAAAGTGGCTAGGAGGTTAGACAGGCTAAGTGGGTAGGCAGTTCGAGACTAATGACAATCTCCAAAACAATGTTACGGCCCATCTCAAGTCATTGGTGGCAACATTCTATGACAAGGGGATGGAAAAGCTCATCCACAGATATGACAAATGCTTCAATCTTCAGTGATTATGTCAAAAAGTAACCATGTTTGTACCTAACTTTTGGCAATAAATTCATTTTGTTATTTACACTTGTCTTTGTATTATGGACCATTGGAGCTTAAAAAACTGCCCTCGTATATATGAAAATATGTATATATATAGATTATATTCTGACAGTAATAAAAATTATTTGGAAAACCTAAATTATGATAGAACTTTTCGGTTTTCATTTCATGATTTGTCTATCTACACTTTTTCCACTTTAATATGTTGTTTACATAATCAACTTTCTGTTAACACAGTTTTGACATTTTAAAACTCCTAGATTCAAAACATTACATGCAAACAACTAACAGAAATTTGAATTGTCAGAACATCAGATGTTCATCTGAAGATGGGGTTGAAAATACCAAAAATGGTTTAATCTGAATAAATATTCTGACTCCTTTAATTTTTAAAAATATATACAGTACATTAATTTTCTTGGTAAAGTCACTGTAGATATCTTAGTTCTGTGAATTTGTTTTTATTTATTTAATGAATGCTTTGAAAAATATTTAATAAATGTTAATTTCTAAATCTAATGAACTCTTCTTGATGTTTCCTAATTTCATGATACGAAATTTATATTCACATTACTCCTAAAAATATGAGATTATAATGGTAGGATGTGCAAAATTGTGTTTGTCAAATCATCTGAAAAATTTTTTAAATTTACTATTTATATAATTCATGACATTTATATATTTAAAAAATAATAATTTAAGTTTTATTTCATTTATAAGTCTACCATATCAGTCTAGACCAGGTGTCGGCAGGAGCAGCTCTTTGGACATAAACTCCAATTTCACCTCATCTCAAGCAGCCTTATAACTTTATGAGTTTATGAGATAGAGCTGCTGAACAAACTTTGACTCATACGGCATACTCTCTACCACTCTTTAGCCCATCCGAATATGACCACACTCATGTTGATCAATATGAGTCACATGCTAGTGGTAGCATTTGAAGCATATATATATATATAATTATCCCATTGAACGCGTGTCCATCCATGTAACATTATGCCAAAAATGGCCATTAGAGGTGCCCCTGTTGTGTGCTGTATTTCGCACATTTAAATTAACAATATAAATTATTATTTACATTAACAGTATAAATTATTCATTTATTATTATTATTATTCATATGTATAGGTCCTATACATATATATATTACATATATGCAGCTCTCTGGTACTTTTGTTTTCCTGTTTCCATGACAATTTGGCCCTTCTCACATGACAAACTGCCGACCCCTGGTCTAGACTTATAGGTATAAATATACTTACATAAATTACAAGACTAGGGATGACAATTTATGTAAAGTCAAAGTGGAATTGGTACAGAATCAGTTAACCATTTACTAGATTGTTGTTTCTGTTTATATCTTCTAGCTGAATAAACAGGAAACCTTTTTCAATTTCTTGTAAAATTTTTGAAAATTTCAGTATTTCTTCATACTTATATAGCTTTTTAAATTTTTTTTGTTGTAATAATGCACGAGTGTTTGAAAATGTTTTTAAAATACAGTAGAGTGTCGATTATCTGAAACATCAGTTATCCGAAAGAATTCCAGTTGGCAAATTTAAATTTTCGCCAGTGCTGTGGCGCTGCAATCTTTGGCTATGTCTTGGGCTACTCAAATATTTTACATTTTTGATACTAAATTAACTTTTGAAGTATAATTTTTTATTGTTTTTATATTTTTCAATATATTTATTTTGTTTGTACAAAATAAAGAAATAATTTTTAACAATACAATAGTCATGATTATTATTTTAAAAAGTTTACGTTAGGCTAAACATGGACGAAAATTCAACGCAAAGCGACACACAATGGAGAAAAATTTCAACATGGGATAGGTTAATATATTTTTTCATACATAAAATTGGTTATCCGAAATATCGATTTTCCGAACAACCCCAGTCCCCAATTGATTCGGATAATCGACGCTCTACTGTATATAACGTTTAAATATGAAATTTGACTCTAATGTATGGAATTGTTCATTCATAAGTATTTGAAAATATTGTGGAAACCATTTGACTAATAAGATAACTTAAATAGCCATAAGTTAGATACATATACTGTACTTTTAGTTATATTTTTAATAAATGCAACAATTGAATTAAATAGGTAAAAACACTATAATGATAAAATTATTATCATATGCAAACAAAATAAAATTTGTGAAAATACACTGAATAACAATTTTCTTCATAATTATACTATATGCTAAGCTTTACAAATAAATTTTGCCAAGATATTATATTATATAGCTGTTCTCAATATTTTCTTTTTTAAAAGAAATTTTTAATAATATTTTAGTAACTGTCAACAAATATTAAAATTTTAACATGTTCTAATGGACATTTGATATTCTGTGAAGAGAGTACTATCTGACATAAAAATAATTTTACAATAGAAGAATTTGAAGTTTTGTCATCTTTACAGAGAGAGGCAAGTTTTTGGCATGAAAATTTGGTTCTAGGTCACTACTGCTTACAAAATGACAAAAAAATGTTAGAAAGAAATTCAAAAGGATTAACTGATTAAACCTCAAGCATCAGCAGATAGCCCTGGTCAAACAAGTAGCTGGTCACCTGATCAGAAACACAGAACTAATTAAATGTGAATTTAATTTTAATAAAGCATTTTTTGTGATTTATACTTTAATACTGATATTAATATATGAACTTATTTCAAATACCTTTTTCTCTTGTTCTTTTTGTTCCTTTTTTGTCTGGTAATCTTCCATTGCTCGTTTAATTGCTGATTTCTTCATCCTTTTGTTTTTACTTAAAATAAATATAATTCTCAGATTTAATGATTTTTTAAAATAATGAAATAGAAATTTAAAAACTTAACAAAATTGTTTTATACAAACAAATGCATAATTATTATTTACATAAAACTTATATTTTAACTTTCCTTATTAACAAAGTTTACCCTTTTTAAATTTAACATATCCTTCAATATTTGAATTTACCAATAAAAGTGCTCAAAATATATGCACTCACACCAATTTTGAACACACACATTTTTATTAATATACATAAATTCTCTTTTTACATGATTTGTTCTAATCTAACATGTTTCAATAAATTTATCTTTTTAAAAATTTCCACTTGATTACACAAATGTGTTTTTTCACTTTATTTTCTAATTTCCTTCCTGTTTTACCTATATAAATTATATTATATGTTAATTTATATGTGTTAATTTATAAATCATATTTTTTGTATTTAATATTTCCATATAATTGTGTGAAATTTTAATTTAGTTTTTTTAATTAAATTTTTCATTTTATTATTAATATATAGTATTAATGTTAAGTTACAATCTTTATTTAAGTTTATAAAATACAAAAACTTCCTGAAATATATAGAAAAAAGTTTTATTAGTGTATTAGTTGACAGTTATTTTTTAACTGTCTTGGCTTAAATGTCAACAGAAAATGTATGTATAGCTAATATAACTTATTTAATATTTTATAGAATTATGTTTGATATAAATTATTATTTTATTAGAAAAAAGAAAGAAACAGAAAATAATACTACTGTCAACCATAATGTAGAAAAAAACTTGATTATTATAAATTATATCAAATGTAATGTTAAATGGAAACTTCTTAAGAAATTGTAAGTAAGAAGAATATATTTTTACTTTATAAAGTTATAATAAATCTTAAATTAATTTTACATCAATAACATTAAAAGGACTGAAGAGGAGCAGAAGTGCCCAAATGCACATCCCTATGTAAAAGAAGCTTCTGGGAAAAAAATACTATTATTACATAAATTTCATTGAATAATACAAAGAAATGAATAGAAAAAGACTTCTTCATTCTCCTTTATCATCAACTACCCACTGTATCATTGGCTGCATTCAGTAACCTGAACAGTTTTAACTGAGCAAAGATAAAGTAGCAATAACTATTACTTAATGGCAATGAATCTGCTGAATGACAAGTTAAGAGTTAATATGAAAATCGTGGCACTACAATAGCTTCTGCTTCTTTCCAAAAACTTAAAAACATTAAACAAAGTAAATTATAGTGATTTTAAAGTTTATTTTGCAGATATCTGTTTTTAGTTGATGATAACCATTTTTGAATAGATTAATATTGTAATATATGCCCTCACATGTATAAATATATATACTTCATGTTAAATGAATGCAGTTATCTTTAATTAGTTATAGCTATTCAAATGTACATATTTGAAATCTACTACTAAATGCGATGTCAAAACACCAAACATGTTTCAAAATAGTGCTACCTTAGAGGGCATTCATCAGAAAAATACTCAACAGCTCTGGAATTGTTCAGTCTGCTTAATGCAGCCATTAAGTCTTCTTATCTTCTTTTGGTGAATACACAAAAAACCCTACATTATATCATATTTTCTATTCAAATTGTATTTATCTACTTTCAGATCGTTGTTTATTACTAATGTGAACTTATTTTCATTGTTATCAATTGATATACTTTTCTATCTGTGAAAACTGTTTGGATAACTTTTGGTCAAGATGGAACATATTAGAATTTTTTCCATGGAAATTAATGGGATTTGCCTATATGTTTAACGACTTTTTGCTTTTGCAACAGTTTTCAAGAACAAATTAGTCATTAAGCACAGGATAGTTATACATTATCAGTTGGCAATCAAAATCTCATATCTGCATTTTCTAAAATTTTACAGGAGAGCTAAAACACACGGTTTCATGGGAGCAAAGGTTCAAGTACAAGGTTGCAATGCTTTGAAATTTTAGAGAGCGGGCTTAAAAGGTATGCACCACTTACGAGGTTTTGGCACTATGTAAAAATTGACTTTACAACTCATTAATTCAAAAATGCAGCTTCGATTTATTATTGGAAATACAATGCTTCCATCTTCAATTGACAATATTCTTTTGTGTATAGATTTAACGTTAGGGGCAAAAAACTTGTTAATGTTCAAATGAGGTCGTGAGGAAAGTCTGAGATCCATTGATTTTATTCCTCTATGATGCATTACATCATAGTGCAACAAAAAACATTCTTTAGTACATGCGACTCAAGTAGGGTGATCAGACATCTCGAATTTCCAGGAACCATCCCCAATTTTGACTGTTTTCAGTATTTCATTGTAGAATCAATCTTTGAATAGAGCAATTTTATTGTGTTAATAAAATTCAATAAAATATCAGCAATTTATAATACAATAAATAGATAAATTTTAAAAAATAACCAAACTTCGGTCAGTTTTATGGCACTATTTTCAGTGATTCTGAAATGTGTCCCCGGCAAGATTCTAGGACAAATGTAGCAAAATTTCGCTACCCCCAAATTGTAGAGCCCCCCCTGTGCGAGCATAAAAGTCAAAAGGACCATGCCCGTACGGGCGACACTAAGCGAGTTATAGCCCTCCAAAGATGCGCCTACGTCACATCCGGTCATGTGACTCTGCACCCAAAAGGGACGGTGTCACGTGGCCGAAATTTTTTTTTCGGTTTTCCCCATCTCAGTGTTGAAAAAAATCGTCAGCTCCCCCTTCCTTAGCCCCCTGCGTGCGTCTCCCCCTGGCACGCGNGTTTATTAAGTACGTCAGATAAATAATCTATTAAAAATACATTTAAAGAAAGAATTAACTGATTGCTCCTGGATGTCGGCTTCTTATAGAAACACAGCTTCCCTATCATCAAATGTCACGGCACGCCCCTGGTCACTTAGATAGATAAAGTATCCGAGCGCTTGGGCAACTCCGGTGAGGGCGAACTTTCGATGATCCTGGACTCCTCGGTCAGACGAACGAACTCCCTGTCGTCATCAGTCATTGCCTTTTATTGGGGTCTTCCCGCTTTTCTCCATTGCCTTTTTTTTTGACAATGTTGCAATGTCTATGTCCAATAGCAAATTCTCGTCGCCAAGTTCCTGGTGACGCATTCAATGTCTCATCTTTAAAGGGGATTCCACAGAGGGATAAAATCATATCCTTTACAATTTTAACAATCGTGGGAAAAATTATAGCAAGTTTTAATTTTCCTCGTTTTATAAGAATTGAGTGGAATTAGCATTTATTCTATTCTGTCAGTTAACTTCATTATAAGAGCGTTCACATAATCCGAAATCGCGCACTAGGGTTTCTTTCCCGGGATTCTCGCCGTTTTATTCCCTACGAGAAAAATCCCGGGAAATTTTATTTTCCCGGGAAATCTCGCATTTCAATAATAATTTACCATGTCAGGTTTTCTTTCTATTTTTTATTNAATATAACTTATTTAATATTTTATAGAATTATGTTTGATATAAATTATTATTTTATTAGAAAAAAGAAAGAAACAGAAAATAATACTACTGTCAACCATAATGTAGAAAAAAACTTGATTATTATAAATTATATCAAATGTAATGTTAAATGGAAACTTCTTAAGAAATTGTAAGTAAGAAGAATATATTTTTACTTTATAAAGTTATAATAAATCTTAAATTAATTTTACATCAATAACATTAAAAGGACTGAAGAGGAGCAGAAGTGCCCAAATGCACATCCCTATGTAAAAGAAGCTTCTGGGAAAAAAATACTATTATTACATAAATTTCATTGAATAATACAAAGAAATGAATAGAAAAAGACTTCTTCATTCTCCTTTATCATCAACTACCCACTGTATCATTGGCTGCATTCAGTAACCTGAACAGTTTTAACTGAGCAAAGATAAAGTAGCAATAACTGTTACTTAATGGCAATGAATCTGCTGAATGACAAGTTAAGAGTTAATATGAAAATCGTGGCACTACAATAGCTTCTGCTTCTTTCCAAAAACTTAAAAACATTAAACAAAGTAAATTATAGTGATTTTAAAGTTTATTTTGCAGATATCTGTTTTTAGTTGATGATAACCATTTTTGAATAGATTAATATTGTAATATATGCCCTCACATGTATAAATATATATACTTCATGTTAAATGAATGCAGTTATCTTTAATCAGTTATAGCTATTCAAATGTACATATTTGAAATCTACTACTAAATGCGATGTCAAAACACCAAACATGTTTCAAAATAGTGCTACCTTAGAGGGCATTCATCAGAAAAATACTCAACAGCTCTGGAATTGTTCAGTCTGCTTAATGCAGCCATTAAGTCTTCTTATCTTCTTTTGGTGAATACACAAAAAACCCTACATTATATCATATTTTCTATTCAAATTGTATTTATCTACTTTCAGATCGTTGTTTATTACTAATGTGAACTTATTTTCATTGTTATCAATTGATATACTTTTCTATCTGTGAAAACTGTTTGGATAACTTTTGGTCAAGATGGAACATATTAGAATTTTTTCCATGGAAATTAATGGGATTTGCCTATATGTTTAACGACTTTTTGCTTTTGCAACAGTTTTCAAGAACAAATTAGTCATTAAGCACAGGATAGTTATACATTATCAGTTGGCAATCAAAATCTCATATCTGCATTTTCTAAAATTTTACAGGAGAGCTAAAACACACGGTTTCATGGGAGCAAAGGTTCAAGTACAAGGTTGCAATGCTTTGAAATTTTAGAGAGCGGGCTTAAAAGGTATGCACCACTTACGAGGTTTTGGCACTATGTAAAAATTGACTTTACAACTCATTAATTCAAAAATGCAGCTTCGATTTATTATTGGAAATACAATGCTTCCATCTTCAATTGACAATATTCTTTTGTGTATAGATTTAACGTTAGGGGCAAAAAACTTGTTAATGTTCAAATGAGGTCGTGAGGAAAGTCTGAGATCCATTGATTTTATTCCTCTATGATGCATTACAT